TGTTTCATTTTTAATGGTTCAGTAACATTAAACTTTAGAAGGACCTCAACTTTATTAGCAAGTGTTCGTAACTTTGCGTGGTTTACCATCTGACCATAATTGTTGCTTTGGACATAGGTGATGCGAGAATGAATCCTTTTAGGCCTGATTTATCAGCTTGCTCAGATGCTCTAAGATTTAAAGGAAGCTCAATAGTCTAAGTCCAGAAATCCTAAGAAATCTCACATCTCCTCAGTTGTAATCCATTTAACCATATTCCCCACTTGACAGTAGTTAGTCACATGTTGAAGTTGACAGGAAATGTGGTTTTCACAAATTCTGATTTTGCAACATCCATTGAATACTCATGTAAATTACATATTTTTCCTAACTGTGCTATCATTAATTTCTGCAGCTATAATGTAACTATGCGACATTTGAAGCTAAAAGTATTTGATCAAAGAATTTTCTATTTAAAAAAATATGCTTTTGAAAGATGCCTGGACTTCAAACCACTAAGGAAATGTTAGCCAATGTTCAATGGACTTAGAACTTAAAATGTAGGCATTTATTGTTGAATGTAAAGGGAGTGATGAGTGTTTAGTATTATCCTTAAATCAGCGGTCAAATCCAGATATAATTCTCCAAATTGTAACAGCAGAGGTGTATCTCAAAAATAAGCTTCAATTAAGAACATTAAGAACTGGACATAATGGACTTTCTGAGCAGAAGCTAGGGGTGTCATGTCTCAACAAAAAGTAAGTAGCCCTGGATGAGTCACCCAAAGTCACTTCTTGCTCATCCCGCTAACAGGGACATAAAATAATGCGGATAAACTGATAAAACTTGACTTCTGCCGAGGTTGTAAAAACCATTTATACTCCTTTGGCTACAGTAAAGTACAGTGCGTTTTAAGGCATCTAAATGTCTTACCAATTCAATTAAAGTATTTGTATTTTGGATCATTTGGATAATTTAATGTTAGCAATTACTTTTTAGATTGTATGTTCTATCATTATTCTACTGATTCTGTAATATGGATTGATTTTATTTTTGTTGAAATCTAACAGGATAGAAATGCTTTGCCATCATGAAGCCAAAGTATTTTTTCTGTATGTGATACATGTTCCTCTTGAAACTGAGTTTCCAACCAAAGCCTAGTCAATAATGATCTACCTGCCTGTTATTCGCCCAAACTGCCCTTTTAGACTTAAGAATAACCAATGAGCACAAGAAATGTATACACCTTGGGTGGAATGCCTTATTGAAAAATGTTTTGCAGGGTGGAACATTTTGAGAGGAATGATACGGAAGCAATTATAGCCAAATGCTGTTGAATTTTGGCAATGGCTTTTATACAAAATACAGTGATTAGCTGTATTAAATTAAAGATGAGTGCCAGGGTTTCAACAAATGGAGTGAAAGGGGCGGGTATAAGACCCAGCTTTGAGAATTCTAGCCAATGGATTGCAAAGGTAATGAACTTGGGTGGATACCTAGAGTTAAGAACATTATAAATATTTACTTGATGTAATGTTTAACGTGCTGCTATTTCTTCTTCTTCTTTTCAGCTATATTCATGAATCACGTGCTCTGAGATTTCACTGACAGTCCTTGGATTACTTTTAAGTTGTGGAAGGACTTTGCATAAAACAAGATGCTTATCAAGGAATACCACATCCCTCTTCCCATGAGTGTTGAGGAGTATCGTATTGCACAACTCTACATGATACAGGTGTGATTGATATCAGTTTAGAGATTATAAATGACTTAAAATTAGACAAGATGAATGATAATTTCACTGGTTCATTTTAGTTTAATTGGGAAATGCTCAGTGCTTCTGCTGACAGAATTGTTTTGGGTTTATAAAGCACAATAACCATTTATCACTGTTACAAGATCTGACATAGTGTTGGTTGTGTCTTGTACACAAATATATTGTGACCGTTGAAGTATGATTTGAATTTGAATTGTATCTTCATGTGTGAAAAAATTCTGAGTGTAAGCCTTGCATAACAGTTAGCCATAAAATCAGAAGTGACGTTTAAGCTGACTGAAAAAGCTAATATTGTTTAAAAATATTCTAAAGCAGTCTAACAGTGAAGGTGTTGTTCTGCTTGACAATGTTTTTTCAGATTAAAGGACAAACATTTATATTGGGCTATGAGTAAGCCAGGATCCTATTTATACACAATGTATGTTACCAAAGCCATAAAGACTGTTTGTCCTAATGTAAATTATTTTTATTCTTTCCCATTAGACGGCATTACAAGATTTGAATTTTTGAATATCATCTTTTTGTGTCATTCTTGATGTTTAATATATTGACACAGCTTTCATTTTTGACTTCACTTTGCTTAAATTCCAATAAACCTGGACATAGATACCCCAAGCTTAATTTTATTCTTTACCATGTTCTCATTGAACATCAACAAAGTACAAGTCAATTTCATAGCTCAAATGTCAGCTATAATTACACAATATGGCTTTCTAGTCTTCAACTTAGACCTCTGTATCTGCTCTGTAACATGGAATAGTGTATTACATAAGAGTAACTTTGTGCAGTATTGGTGTTCAAAGCTAGGCATTTCAAGCCTTTGCTGTGAGGACTTTCTAATTTGAGTAAAGCAAGGCATTGGGCTTTGGCCAGGATTCTCCTCAGAACCATAAGGACTTTTTCTTTTGCGCGGAATCGGGGGAGGTGGGTGTGGAGTGTGAGGAGATGCAGAATTCTTAAGGTTGTGCTTTCACAGTGAGCAATTGTTGAATGTCTTCTCACGAACCCTATGCTGCGACTTACTTGCAGGATCTTGAGTAAAGATCTATGAAATCTGTATTTGTGCTAACATTGCATCTGTCCAAACCTTAAACAACATGACATGTTCCTTTTTCTCTCCTCATAGGAACACAGTTTGTAGGAACAGAAGTAGACCATTCAGCCCTTTAATCCTGCTCTGCTATTCAGTAAGGTCAAGCGTTGATCTAATTGTAGTCTGAGCTCCCACTTGCCTGACATGTCAAAAATCTAGATTGGCCTTGAATATGTTGAGTGACCCAGCATCCACTATTGTCTTCAGGAGAAAATTCCATAGACTAATGATCCTTGAGAAGATAAATTTCTCTTTGCTCTTATCTTAAAAGGGAAACTGCCTATTCTTCAGTTGTTTCTCTTAATTGTAATCTCCACACAAGAGGAAACTTTTCAGTATCAACCCTAACCAGTCCCCTCAGGCTCTAAATGTTTCTTTTTCTTTTCGAATCCCTGCAGTGTGGAAGAAACAGGCCATTTGGCCCATCAAAGAGTATCTCCACCCTCCCCACCACCCTATCCCTGTAACCCTGCATTTCCCATAGGTAATCAACCTAACCCTGTACATCCCTGGATGCTATGGGACAATTTAGCATGGCCAATCCATTTAAACTGCACGTCTTTGGACTGTAGGCAGAAACCGGAGCACCCAGAGGAAACCCATGCAGACATGGGGAGAATGTAAACTCTGCACAGATAGTCCGACACAAAGTGGAATCAAACCCGGGTCCCTGGCACTGTAATGTAGCAGTGCTAACCACTGAGCCACCATGCCGCCCAATAAGATTAATTGTAAGATTACTTCTTATTCTTCTAAACTCAAATGAGTAGAGGCCAACCTGCTTAAACTTTCTTCATAAAGTAGTCCTTCATCCCAGGAAAGAGTCTTGTGAACCTTCTTTGAATTGCTTCTTACACAATTTTATCCTTAAAGCAGTCAATTATCTGCTTTTCTTAAAAAAAATTATTAATTTTCCTGTAAGTAACTTCTAAATTTCTACGATAATTAAATCCTTTACTCAAGCAAGTTGTAGAATTTAAAAAAAAAACTTACCTTGAAGTGTACTTATTTTGTTTTTCATCTTGTATTACTATATTCTGTTTGGTATTTTATGTCTGTACATCAGATAGGTATAGAATTGGCAGACCTGTGATTTTCAGCTTTGTTTTGGAATTAAGAAGTCTTGTTTCACATGTAATCTGAGATTTTTAATTTTCTCTTGAGGGAACTGAGGGAGGGAGAGTTGGTGTTTGATTTAAGTAAAACTGGGGGCAAGGAGGTAGAAGGGATGAGAAGAAGGATGAAAATGTGAACAGAAACAGTAACCATGATCTTAACAAAGTAAGTTAGTCAGCATTATCAATTAAATTAAATCCTGATAAAAGGGCAGAATAATATGTTTTTGCAAAAGATGTAATTTGAAATATTGTATCAGGGATAATTTTGCATATACGCTATTAAGAGCTTTTATAAGTAGTGTTTCTGCCTTTAAAATTGTAACAGCTTAACATACTGGGACACTTACAGCCCTCACTAAATGATTTCAGCAAATCTCACTGGTATTAGTGAATTCTCTGTTTGTTTCAAGCATAAAGTACTTGGCTATATCATCTGAAGCGAAGCCTTGAGTTGTGAAACAGACTTCAACATTGTAAATGATTAAAAATAGTCGTGAGTAAGATCTGTCTTCATTGCATTCATGGCAACGTGATTGTTAAAAAGTTGAGATTTTGGATGCATTGGTGTCATCTTCCAAAATTCTCTGGATTCAAGAACAGTCCCTGAAATTGGGTAGCAAATGTAATCTCATTATTTAAAAAGGCAGGGAGAGTAAGAAATAGAGAATTACAGACCAGTTAGCCTAATATCAGTAATCAGGAAAATGCTAGAATTTTATTATAAAAGACATGATAAAAGAACATTTGGAAAGCATCAACGGGATTGAACAAAGCCAGCGTGGATTCGGAAAGACAAATCTACTAGAGTTTTTTGAGGACGTATCTAGTAGAATAGATAAGGGATATGGATGTGGATTTTCAGGAGGCTTTTGAAAGGTCCAATGTAAGAAGTTAGGTGGGCAAAATTAAAGTACATGGGATACGGTAATAGATTGGCATACATTGAGAATTAGTTGACGGAATGGAAATACAAAGTGAGAATGAATGGGTCTTTTTTCCAAGTAGCATGTAGTGACAAAGTAGGGTATCATGAGGGTCAGTGCTTGGGCCCCAGCTATTCATGAAATATATAAATAACCTGGATGAGTGAATCAAATGTAACGTTTCCATATTTGCTGATGTCACAAAACTCGGTGCGACTATGATTTATAATGAGGATACAAGGCAGTTTCAAGGTGATTTAGACAAGTTGAGTGAGTGGGCAAACGTGGCAGATGCAGTACAAGGTGGCTAGAAGTGAAGTTATGCACTTGGTTGTGAAAAACTGAAAAGAAGAGTATAATTTAAATGGTGATATGTTGGTAAATGTGGATGTACAATGCGATCTGGGTGTCTTTATGCACCAGTCAATTAAAGTAGGCAGTCAGACGCAGCAAGAAATCAGGAAGGCAAATGGTATATTGGCCTTCATTACGAGAGAATTTGCACTCGGAATTAGTAATATCTTACTGCAGTTATACAAAGCCTTGGTGAGACCACACCTAAAGTATTGTATAGAGTTTTGGTCTCCCTGCCTCAAAAAGGATGTCCTTGCCATAGAGGGAGTACAGCAGGGGGTTACTAGACTGATAATGGGGATAGCAGGACTACTTTGTGAGGAGAAATTGGTACAACTGGGCTTGCATTCACTAGAGTTTAGAAGGATGTGACGGGATCTGATTGAAGCATATAAAATTCAAACAGGACTGGACAGACTTCATGCAGAAAGGATGTTTTTCTTGCTTAGGGAGTCTAGAACTAGGGGATACAGAGAAGACTGTTTAAGGCTGAGAAGAGGAACCATTTCTTCTCTGAGGATAATGAACCCATAGAATTCTCTATCACCAAAGGCTGTTGGGAGAAAGCAAGAAAATGGCATTACGATAGAAGATCAACCAAGATCATATTGAAAGGTGGAGCAGGCTCGAAGGGCCGAATAACCTACTCCTTTATTTATATGAAATTAATTCCTGTTAACTGTTCTAAAATTGCAGTTAAATGAAGCTGTTTTATTGTGATTTTTATTAAACTGAAATTCAATTGAATGCTTTCTTTTATTATTAATTATCCAATGTTATAATGGATATCTTGAAAATAAGAGTTATAAACTCGTAGTCCGATAGAGTGATGCTGATGACATTTGTGAACATGACTAAGACTTTCAAATTATACTCATTCATTCATGGCCAGATGTCTTCTGATCTGTTCAGTATATACTGACTGATAATTTGAGGGAAGGCACATTTGCTTCCATTCCTTGTAATATAGACTGTATGTTGCATATGATAGCAAAGCTGTATGACTAGAAATCAGATTAAACCTATAAGTAGTCTAACTGAAGATCGACAGCTCATTTTGGCTACAACTGCGATGTGAAGCATCTATAATCATTAGCAAAAACTAGACGTCAGATCCAGACATGACTGAATGATGTTAACAAAATTTAAAATGAAGTAGCCAAAGATATTGAGGTGCAGCATGTACTGAGTTGCTTATGCTGGTGCACAGCAGACCTTTAAATCCTTGACACTCTGTAGGAAAATGAACCTATATCTTTTTTGATTACAAGTTGCTTGAACTCAGTTTTATTTTGAAGATTTACTTCTCCTGTTTGTCAAGTTGTGCGCCTGTGAAATCCCTATGGTATGTAGGAAATGGCAGAGAAACTCATAAAAGAACAGGATGTGTGAACAAAACATAGGGTAACATTTTCTCTACCTAACGGGACTTTTTGCTGACTTTATGTGGCTCATAACGTTTAATAAAAA